ATTGATGTCCGTATTTGATTTCCATATATTTTTATCTGATTACTATATTACCAATATTATTTGCCCAATATGTTTACCATACTTTTAAGCTTGTTCAGCAGGTTTTACCTGGCGATTTAAAATCCCGTGAAATCAGATTGGGCGTAGCAACTGAAGAGAGCGGTCGAGATCTAAGACGGCTCAAGTTTTCCCCTGTTTAGTTATATATTTTATTAATATTTCATGACCAGAGGTCCACCTATTCTGGGTAAGTGTATTTTATTTATTATTGTAAGCTGTATGATTTATTGACGGTTTTTATTCCTGAAATGGCCACAGAACTTTGTTCTATAATTTCATTCGTAAGTTAGATTCAAAGTAGTATTTGCTCATGTAAAGTATATGTGTTATAAGTAAAAGTATAAGTGTATGAGTATATGTTTAATGTAGACGTAGTGTTGTATGTATAAAGTATGGAGTATAGTATTCGTCTTAAAGTGGTTGTCTACAAGTAATACACTTAGTTTATGTGTGAACGTATAAGTTCTATAAAGTAAAGTAGTATGAAGTGAAGTGAAGTGAAGTATAAGTACAGTGCAGTAAAATGCAACTATGTAATGTGTAATGCAGTAAAATGCACCTAAGTAAATGTACAGCAAAATGTACAAGTATGAGCAATTATATGTATAATTATATTATGTCTGTATCTAACTTTGTTTTATTTTATAGGCCCCATTTATTTAGGCCAGTTATCCTTTTATGCCATCCAGCAGGAAGTCATTGGGCCATGTAGAAACGCGTGTGTTTGTACATTTTTGTAAATAAAACTATATTTTAACAAAACTGTATTGTGTGATTTTGGAAAGCCGCCAGCCACCCTGCGACAAAATTGGTGTCAGAAGTGGGATACCAATCCCAGGAATTCAGTCCCAGGATATCCAAGGATATCAACGTTAACACAGGACGACGTCAGGATAGACAGTCTAGCTGGAAACAGATTCCAAATACAGGCGTTGTCTTCGGATATGGAACCTCGCAGAGGAAATCTACATATCACCGACAGTGCCTGATGTCCTAAAGCAAGACGACTTGAATTCATCCGACAGGAAACTTTCTTAACTGTTTATTTCAAATAAAACATTTATTGTCAAATTGTAAGAAAAAGAAAACAACTACTGAAAACATTTTAAAATACATACAAAAGACTTTGTTATAAAAGTAGTTAAAATAGTGAATTACTTGCCTTGAAATCTAGTGAATATTTCATACATGTTCTCTAATTGTATTCTGTATGTACATGAAGTTTGTAATTGTTCTCACTTTTGCAATTGTTATTGTAGGCAATGTTCCATGGTCATTTGGGGTCCAGAAGGTTTCTAGAAGTAGTGAGGGGTGGACTTCCTCAGAGTACGTGGAGACTGGTCAGGGTAAAAGTAGTGTGGTAAATAAGTCAAAAGTATTAACAGTTGTGTCGCCCAATCTCAAACTTTCAAATTCAGTAGGAAGTAAAATTCCGAGTATAGTAGTGACATTAGTAGTACTTATACATGTAGTACCACAGTATATAGAAAGTAGAAATCAAAGTACAGTAGAGTCGTTAGTAGTACATGTAGAAGTGCAGTATATAAGTGGTCACACAAAGGTGTTAGAAAGGTCTAGGTGTTATGTTAAAAAGGTCATGTCCGTAAAAATGGACTCGGTACAAGATTTAATCGCTGCAGGCGAGAAGTTAGGTTATGAAAAAGAAGAGTTAAGAAATTATGTTACAGAACAACAGAAATTACAGCGTGAAGAGAGAGCAGCGGCTCGACAGAGAGAAAAAGAAGAACGAGAATATCAGCTAGAGATGGAACGCATGTATCATGAGATGAAGATGAAGCAGCTACAAGAGGAACACGAATTAGAACTAGCAAACAAAAGTGCACAAGGTAAGGTTAGTGATGTTATGGTAAAACCTAGTGTACCGAAAATTCCTCCTTTTGACGAAAACAAAGACGAAATTGACAGCTATTTGAGAAGGTTTGAGAGGTTTGCGACAGCCATGAATTGGGAAAAGCCTTTATGGTCGACACACCTCAGTGCTTTATTGAAAGGACGAGCTCTAGATGTATATGCTCTTATGTCCACGTCAAAAGTAAGTGACTACGATGAACTTAAAGCAGCTTTACTACGTAGGTACGAAATGACAGAGGATGGTTTTAAAAAGAAATTTCGTTCTTGTAGACCTGAAGTTGGGGAAACATTTTCTCAGTTCACTGTTAGACTTGCTTCTTACTTGACTCGGTGGGTAGAAATGTCCAAAATTACTTGTTCATTTGAGGCTCTTTTCGATCTTATGCTTAGAGATCAAATGTTACATGTGTGTAATTTTGAATTGGCTGTATTTCTGAAGCAGAATGTTCCAAAGACAGTGGATCAGATGAGTATGTTAGCTGATCAGTTTAGGGAAGCTAGAAATACTAGTGCTATCAATTTGTGTTCAAAGGCAGTGAACAAACCAGAGGTAAGTAAGGTACCAGAAAAACCCAAAGATGCACGTCAGCATCAGCAACAGAAGCCAAGGTTTGTTCCAAACAATGAAAGAAAATGTTTTGTGTGTAACAAATATGGTCACATTGCAACCCAGTGCAGATTTAAAAGTAAAAACTCAAGTGCAGCAGTGTGCAAGGACGAACGTGGGAAAGGTCAAACAAGTGATAGTAATGCAAATCCAAGTAACTGCGCAGCGCTGATTTACAGTCAAAACCCGTCTATTTATAGTCAGGTAAGTGACCATACAACCGTTTTAACATCAGCATGTCATTCTACAGCGAAACCAATGCCTCTTTCAGCTGGTTACGTTGAAGGTCATCCAGTTACTTTACTGAGAGATTCAGGATGTCGAAACATTGTAGTGCGCAAGAGTTTGGTAAAAGAGGAAAACTTTACAGGTAGACAAGAAACGTGTGTTTTGGCAGACAACACAAGAATAGTGGTCCCAGTGGCAAAGGTTGTCATTGATTCTCCATATGTATCAGGTGAGTATGAATGTTGGTGTATGGAAAATCCTGTCTTTGATCTGATTATAGGTGAAGTAGAGAATGCGAGGAAACCTCATGATCCGGATCCAGAATGGAAACCTAACACTATCACAGCGGTAGAAACAAGACAACAGGTAAAAGAAAAACAGAAAAAGTATAAACCACTTAAAGTGCCAGATATTGTCAAAGATGAAATCAACACAGATGACATATTGCGAGAACAGCAGTCAGATCCGTCACTCGAAACAGCACGCAGATATGCACAGGAAGGTCGTACTTCACGTGATGGTAAGGTCAAATGGTTTGAAAAGAATGGTCTTCTGTACAGGGAATATGTGTCAGCAGAAAAGGACGGTGGTAAGACCTATTCTCAACTTATAGTCCCATCAAAGTTTCGTCATATTGTAATGAAATTAGCTCATGAATCGATCATGTCTGGTCATTTAGCGATAAGTAGAACCATTTCTAGGATTTTGTCAGAGTTCTTTTGGCCAGGAATGCAGTCGGAGATAAAACGATTTTGTAGGTCCTGTGATACATGCCAAAGAACCGTGTCTAAGGGTACAGTAACAAAAGTTCCTTTAGGTAGAATGCCTTTGATAGACGTGCCTTTTAAAAGAGTTGCTGTAGACATTGTAGGTCCACTGCACCCTCCAACTGAAAAAGGTAATCGTTTTATTTTGACTTTAGTTGATTACGCCACAAGATTTCCACAAGCGAAGGCGCTTCCAGGAATAAACACAGAGCGGGTTGCTGAGGCCTTACTTGAGATGTTCTCCTACACAGGTATTCCAGAGGAAATATTAACAGACATGGGAAGTCAATTTACTTCCGGGCTCATGAAAGAGGTGAGTAGACTCATTTCGTTGAAACAGTTAACAACTACTCCGTATCACCCTATGTGCAACGGGTTAGTTGAACGTTTTAACGGCACTCTTAAGCAAATGCTTAAACGTATGTGTATTGATAGACCAAGAGACTGGGACAAATATCTACCCACTGTGCTTTTTGCCTATCGTGAGGTGCCCCAGGAAAGTTTGGGCTTTGCTCCCTTTGAGTTGTTATATGGTCGTACGGTAAGAGGACCCATGACGATCCTGAAAGAACTATGGACGAAAGAAATTCCAGATCAACAGGTAAAGTCTACCTACCTGTACATTTTAGATCTCCGCGAGCGATTGGAGTCAACTTGGGAGTTGGCACAGGAGAATCTTAAGAGGGCGTCACAAAGACACAAAGTGTACTTTGACAAGAAGGCTAGAGTACGAAATATGAAACCAGGTGAGAAAGTTTTGGTTTTGTTGCCTTCTGATAGTAATAAGCTCCTTATGCAATGGAAAGGCCCTTTTCAAATTGTGAAAAAGATAGGTAAAGTAGACTATCAGTTAGACGTGAAGGGAAAAGTTAAGACCTATCACGCAAACATGTTAAAAAGATATGTAGAACGTTGTGAACCAGTTGTTCAATGTGTTATGTCAGTTGTAGATTCAGAACAAATTCAGTTTGATGAATCAGTTGGTGAGTATGATGAAGAAGCAGAGTTCGTACACGTACAGTCTCGAGAATCCTACAAAGATGTAGATGTGAATCCAGATCTCAACAGAGAGGAGAGACAAACTCTTATGGATCTTTTATACAGGTATAGTGATGTTTTAACAGATGTACCAGGCCACACACATGTGCTTGAACATGAAATCAGGACAACAACGGATAAACCTGTGAGAGTAAGTCCGAGACAAATCCCTTTTGCTATGATGGAAACGGTGAAAGATGAGGTACGTAAAATGTTAGAAATCGGGGTAATAGAATATTCGGAAAGCCCATGTTCATCCCCAATAGTCCTTGTTGCAAAGAAGGACAACACATATCGGTTTTGCGTCGATTTTAGAGCTCTGAATCGCATTACTGTGTTTGATGCGGAGCCTATGCCTGATGTTGACGCAATGTTTGCGAAATTATCAGGTCATAAATACTTCTCACGGTTAGATTTGTCAAAGGGGTACTGGCAAGTGCCGTTGTCTGATTCTGCCCGTCCAATGACAGCTTTTCAGACTCCCCAAGGTCTTTTCCAGTTCACCAAAATGCCGTTCGGGCTGGTCACAGCTCCGGCTACTTTTTGTCGTCTCATGCGCGAGGTGCTCAACAACGTTTCTAATGTTGATAATTTCATAGATGATATCTTGATATTTACTCATACTTTTGATCAACATATCTCTGTGCTTTCTCAGGTTTTACAGCGTCTCCGTTCAGCGAATCTCACCGCCAGACCAATGAAATGTTCTTTGACTTATCGGAAACTGGAGTGTTTGGGCCATATCATAGGCGATGACAAAGTACATCCTCATCCAGATAAAGTGTCGGCTATACAACAGGCGAACCATCCTACGCGATCTTTTCTAGGACTGGTAAATTTTTACAGAAAGTTTATCAGGTCCAGTCCAAAGACTATTTCTACCTACGTAGCTATTAATAGCTACCTAGGTATTTAAAGCTACCAAAAGTAGCTATATTTACCTACTTTATATAATTTCTGCATTTTACGACCAAAAGACCAAACGGCGCAACATGGTGAATACCATATTTTTTGATACGGTCACACTAATGATGAAAACAACAAAATTTTGGCGAAAAAATGATTACTTCCTGAATCGGCAATTTTACATTAGTTTCTATGCAAAATTGATAAAATACGATTTTCATTTTTTGGCCAAATTTTTGTCTATTCATTCAGTGTGACTGTATCGCCGTTCATGCCTTTGGCTACAAAATGCAAGTAAAGCAGAAAGTAGGTAAAAATAGCTACTTTAGGTAGCTTTAAATACCTAGGTAGCTATTAATACCTACGTAGGTAGAAATAGTCTTTGGACTGGACCTGTTTATCCCGAATTTTGCCCATATAGCTCTTCCATTAACAGACCTCACAAGAAAGTTCTCTCCTAGTAAACTTCAGTGGACAGAAGCTCAGGAATTAGCATTTCAAAATCTAAAAGCATCTATTATTCAATCTCCGATTTTGAAATTACCAGATCTTTCCAAGGTTTTCATTGTACAGACTGATGCATCCGACAGGGATATTGGAGCAGTACTTTTACAGGAAGAAGGTGAATTCAAACTCCCTGTTGCCTATGCCAGCCGCAAACTAAAACCAAGTGAAGAACACTACTCAACGATAGAAAAGGAATGTTTGGGTATCATTTGGTCAGTGCAAAAGTTTCACAGGTATCTCTATGGCAGAGAGTTTATTTTAGAGACAGATCACCATCCGCTGGTATATTTGAATAAGACGAAGCTCGTGAACTCCAGACTAATGAGATGGGCATTGTCACTTCAGCCGTACCGATTCCGCATCAGGGCTATCAGAGGGAAGGACAATGTAGGAGCGGATTATTTAAGCAGACAGTAATAATCCGTCAGTAACTGTATGTAAATAAAGTTGATGAAAGAAGAATTTTATCTTGTTTTATCTTATGTTTAAAAAATAAAAAAAAAATCTTGTACATAAATTGTGTTTGGGAAAAAATTACATGAATGTAATTTTTCTTTAAAGGGGGAAGGTAATGTCACAATTGATGTCCGTATTTGAATTCCATATGTTTTTATCTGATAACTATTTAACTAATAATTTAAGCCCAATATGTTTACCATACTTTTAAGCTTGTTTAGCAGGTTTTACCTGGCGATTTAAAATCCCGATTTGAGAATCAGATTGGGCGTAGCAACTGAAGAGAGCGGTCGAGTCTAAGACTGCTCAACTTTCTACCTGTTTAGTTATATATTTTATTAATATTTCATGACCAGAGGTCCACCTATTCTGGGTAAGTGTATTTTATTTATTATTGTAAGCTGTATGGTTTATTTACGGTTTTTTAATTCCTGAAATGGCCACAGAACTTTGTTCTATAATTTCATTTGTAAGTTAGATTCAAAGTAGTATTTGCTCATGTAAAGTATATGTGTTATAAGTAAAAGTATAATTGTATGAGTATATGTATAATGTAGATGTAGTGTTGTATGTATAAAGTATGGCGTATAGTATTCGTCTTAAAGTGGTTCTCTACAAGTAATACACTTAGTTTATGTGTGAACGTAAATGTTCTATGAAGTAAAGTAGTATGAAGTGATTTGAAGTGAAGTATAAGTTCAGTGCAGTAAAATGCAACTATGTTATGTGTAATGCAGTAAAATGCACCTAAGTCAATGTACAGTAAAATGTACAAGTATGAGCAATTATATGTATAATTATATTATGTCTGTATCTAACTTTGTTTTATTTTATAGGCCCCATTTATTTAGGCCAGTTATCCTTTTATGCCATCCAGCAGGAAGCCATTGGGCCATGTAGAAACGCGTGTGTTTGTAAATATCTGTAATAAAACTATTTTGTATACATTGCTTTGTGATTTTGGGAAGACTAGTCCTGTCCGTGTTTACTGTGACATGGCGACAATTACTATTCATGTCTGTGTTTACTGTTACAAGACTACAATAACTAGTCCTCTCCGTGTTTACTGTGACATGACGACAATAACTAGTTCTGTCTGTGTTTACTGTGACATGACGACAATTACTAGTCCTCTCTGTGTTTACAGTGACATGACGACAATTACTAGTCCTTTCTGTGTTTTGTGTGGCATGACAACAATCACTACTCCTGTCCGTGTTTACTGTGACATGGCGACAATTACTAGTCTTGTCCGTGTTTACTGTGACATGACGACAATTACTAGTCCTGTCTGTGTTTACTGTGACATGACCACAATTACTAGTCCTGTCTGTGTTTACTGAGACATGACGACAATTAGTGGTCCTGTCCATGTTAACTGTTACATGACGACAATTACTGGTCTTGTCTGTGTTAACTGTGACATGACCAAAATTACTAGTCCTGTCTGTGTTAGCTGTGACATGACGACAATTACTGGTCCTGTCTAAGTTTACTGTGAGATGACGACAATTACTAGTTCTGTTTGTGTTTACTGTGACAGTACAACAATTAACGACAATTTCTAGTCCTGTATATGCTAACCGAGACATGACGACAATTACTAGTCCCGTCTGTGTTGACTGTGACATGACAACAATTACTAGTCCTGTCTCTGTTTACTGTGACATGACGACAATTACTAGTCCTGTATGTGTTTACTGTGACTTGACGACAATTACTAGTCCTGTGTGTGTTTACTGTGACATGACGACAATAACTAGTCCTGTCTGTGTTTACTGTGACATGACAAGAATTACTGGTCCTGTCTGTGTTTACTGTGACATGACGACAATTACTAGTCCTGTCTGTGTTTACGGTGAGATGACGAAAATTACTTGTCCTGTCTGTGTTGACTGTGACATGACAACAATTACTAGTCCTGTCTCTGTTTACTGTGACATGACGACAATTACTAGTCCTGCCTCTGTTTACTGTGACATGACGAAAATTACTTGTCCTGTCTGTGTTTACTGTGACATGACGACAATTACTGGTCCTGTTTTTTTTTTACTGCGACATGACGACAATTACTAGTCCTGTCTGTGTTCACGGTGAGATGACGACAACTATTACTCCTGTCTGTGTTTACTGTGACATGACGACAATTACTGGTCCTGTCTGTGTTCAACTGTGACAAGACAACAATTTCTAGTCCTCTCTGTGTTAACCGTGACATGAGGACGATTACTCAGCCCTTCCTGTTTACTGTGACATGACGACAATAACTAGTCCTGTACGGAAACGTATAACCGCCTCGTGTTGTTGTATTAGAACACGATATTATGACATAAAAATGTTGTCAAATACAATTACTTCAAGGTTTGGCGACTTAATTATGACAACAATCTCTGATAAATAGTTCTTTTATGATATATTTTAGACGCCTTTTACACTTTGATATATCCAAGTTGAATTCCTAAATGTTGCACTAAAATAATGTGTAAAAATTATGTCGCTAAAATTAAATATCGCAG